ATACATACATACATACATACATACATACATACATACATACATATATATCTCATATTTATACAGCCACCCATCTTACAGAACATGACTCTGGGCAGTGTACAATAAAAAACACATAATAAAAACTAACCATTAAAAAAAAAATCTACGAAGAAGAGCACCAATTGGGATTACTAGTAACAGAGTAGCAGAAAGAGTTATTATTATAGGCAATAAGCCATCTCACTAATTCACCACTTCTTTGAACCCCCCTTTCTATTCCTTTCTATTCTCCAGTACTCAGCACTCCCCCTAGAACCATGTTTGAAGGAACTGATCAAGGTGGTGTCAACTTTTAGTGACCTCATAAATATTCTCCAGAATGATCTGTCCACAACCTGGTCCTTCAAGTCTTATATCAAGGAATAGAAAGGTACATTAAAAAAAAAATGATGTTATCTGAGTCACAGGAAAAATTATCAAGCTCCCCAAACAAACGAAATCGCTTTAGTGAAAAGTTAAAGAATGACTGAAGAACAACATGAAGGGGACATGAAATATGAGAAGATATACTATTGCTAACATCTGAAATAATATTTCTGTTATTGTGAAAGAAGTCTGCAGTTTGATTAAGATTTTTTTTTTCACCCTTGCTTTAATGCTGAACAAACATTTTTTATGAAGCAAACCTGCAGTGCTGAATTAATTGCCTTATTCTTGGCAAATTAAGTGGTTGAGGTACTAGAGGTAAAGGATGAAAGAGCTATGTTCATTGTCTACATTTTGTATGAAGCCAATGTAGAAGCTGTTGCTATAGAAACTAGTGAGAAAAAAGATAAGGTTTCAAAGAGATATTACCCCTCTTTAACTTTTGATAGTGAAAAGAAATAAAATGATCTCCTAACAAGGATCTCAAAGGGACAACCTGAAGGAAAACCCATACCTCTGCTGTAACTAACTAAACCTGAATGTTATTCATTGAAACAATCACAGAGTCTTCCCTTCTGGTTAATTCCTTTTTTTGGGGGGGGGGTGGTGATGGTCTCCTTTGTGTCATTTTTTAAGATTTAAAAGCCTCTTGGGTCAAGGATCTGTTCCATCCTAAAGTTAAAAATGACTGACTGGCTGAATAATGTTAGGTAATATCTGAGATACAGATGTCCCCTACCATCCAGAAGGCTGTTAAGACCTGGCTTTTCCCTCAGGCATTGGGCCAGGATGGGAGGTGTGCCCAGCATTTGTGATTTGGGAGGATAGTGTTAGGGGGTTGGTGGTGCATGAAAGGTTTTTTAACCTTGTATATTTTATTATTTCTATATCTGATGGTTAGCCACCTAGGGTTATTTTATGGAATATGGGCAGCAATATACATTTTTCAAACAAATAAAAAAGAAAACTTCTGATTATCCAGAAAAAGAAGTATGCCTTCTCACTGGATGGCTACATTAATGAGCAAATCAATAATCTCTCTTGGGATTACAAAGATCACTTGAAAGGGGGAGTGCCCCTGGACAAAGACCTTTCTCCAAAGTCAAGAGTGCTATCTTTCAAGGACCAAGCATTTTATTTAACCAAGCATATTTGAGTTTTAATGTATGCTTTCTTGTTCCCGTGTATTGGATTGACTGATTGATTTAATTCTATGCTGCCATAATTGAAAAGACTCAGTGGCTTACGCAGAAAAGCTACAAATTAAAACATCCACAGCAGAAAGATAAAAACAACATTAATACAACCATACAAAGCTAAAACCACACAAAATAAGATAGGAATAAAGATTAAAAAAAGAGTTGAGATGGCAACAACAAATCAGGGAAAAGCTCTCCGGAACAACTCAGTCTTCAAGAATTTACAGCAAAGGGGGAGCTAGTCTGACCTTCCCAAAAAGGCTGTTATACAACGCTGCCTTGTCTCAGCCCCCCCCCCCCAAACCTCCTGAAAGTGTAGGATGTGCCTCAGTTTCTTCTGGTTGATCTAATCAGGCCAATAGTGACTGGAGCAGGCAGTCCTGCAGGTATCTGAGTATCAAACCATAAAGGGCTTTATAGGTCAAAACCAGCACCCGGTCGTATTATGTTGTACCCCATTCTGATATGATTTAAAATGATGAAAGGTTGCACAGAAGTGTAATACTTCATTTTGTTCATGGCATAATGGACAAAAACCAACATGAGAATAGCAAAACATATGAGACTGAACTTCCTGGAAGCAGAGAGAGCAAGAACAATGTTGGTATTTATTTATGTGCTCTCTGAAAGGGAAGTTAAGGATCACCCCAAAGAATATTGGAGATAATTTGCCTTGGATCCCTGTTCTAACAGAATCTTCACTGGATCTTGTATTTCTTACAAATGAAATGTGTCTTTCCATTTACAGATCGGCAAGTCTGGATCCAAACCAAAGAGTTAATTTTTGCTAACCTCCACTGCTCTTCGTAGATCAGCAGGGGTGTAGCACTTGGAGGAGTGAAGTCATAAAAGTAATTCATCTGGCACCCTGAAAAATTTCTATTAAAAATTCATGATGGATATAGGCTGGAAAGTTACTTTTTCTTTTTTCAGCATGTTTTTTTAAATATACTGTGTGTGTGTGTATATATATATATATGAGTAAAAATTGAAGGTCACCCAGGGATGTAATCTCTGTCAACAATTTCTGAATGTGGGTGAAGAGCAGTTTAAATATTTCATGAAGGCATTTTCTCGACAGCTTTGTTGTCTCTTTTGGCTTCATGCTTTAGAGAGGCCCTTTGATGAAAAAATAACATAGTACTTCTCAACAATAAGATACTGAGCTAAAAGCTTTCTTGTGTAGGATGCAAGTAACTTGGAAAGCATATTTTATACTGTATCAACAGTTCAGAAGGACATCAAATTAGAATTATAGTGCAATAAGGAGAAAGGTCTAATTGTTTAATTTCATAAACCTTGAAATCATGCTTAATGTCTACTTAGCAATAACCACTATTGAATCCAATGGAAGTTATTCCCACGTAAATGTGTATGGAAATGCAGTAAAAAAATGCAAGTCAGATAGGCATTTTGCCAGATAGAAAGATATTGGCCCCATCTGTGTACTGAGAAGTTCGAGCACATTATGACCATCACCAATCTTAGACAAACTGAGGATATATGTTTATGTGATTATCCTTTAAAAAAAAATCATTTAGTATATAAAGGCATCCTTACCTTTATCTATGTCACTTTCAAAAGACAATTTCCTTCTTCGGAGTTTACTGTTGTCACCATCTGAATCATTTGTTGTCTGTCGTCTTATTGTGAGATCAGCCTTGAAAAGAGAGACATCCACATAGGATAGATCAGAGACATTTGACTTTATTTTATAAAACTGTTCACTAGTTTACTTTGAGATGGATGCAAGCTTCTATTGTCCATAGTTGGAAGGGTTCCTTCTATTCACAGAAAGCTTTTGAACCATGGAGAGCTATTGATCCTAGAAAGTAGGGAAGGAAAGTAACCTTTTTCGTTGCCCTCAGTGCAGTTGTAAACTGTTGGAGGGTCAGGCTTCCCCAGCCCCCACAGAAGGATGGGGTGCAGAGGGTGCAGAGATATGGCAGAAAGGTCTTTCTCCTACTTCTGCTGGGAAGAGTGGGACATTCCAACACATAAAATTTTGTGCATAGGCGAACAACAACAGTAGCAATTCCTTTTCTGAGTAAGGCTCACAATTGATATTAGATGTGTGGGTGATGTTGAAGAGGAGATGTATCTTTAAAAAAAAGCATGTTAATAGAAGCACTGGAATGTTAATTAAAGTCCCCTTTACATCTTGTTCTCTGAGCTGTTTATTCTTTTTTAAATAGCATGTTCTCAGAAACAAGCTAGTGAAGAAAAAATTGAAAACAACCCTTATGGAATGTTTATTACTTCAGGCAGTAATGTAATAGTAGATTATAATTAGCTATGATGTTTAATTACACAATAACAGTAATAAAAGTTGATCTAGATAACAATAAAGCAGGCAAATTATATGCTCTTTTGTTTTATCTCTCTAATTCTTCCTTCTATCACTGAGCCAAATGGAGATATGACTTTCATAGCTGAAAAAGCAGCTTTTACTTTGGTTGCCCTTTATTCTAATATTTATTTCTGCTCTTTTTGAAGAATTTGTGAGACACACACAGTCATTTTTCGCAAACCAAACCAAACCAAACCAAACCAAACCAAACCAAACCAAACCAAACCAAACCAAACCAAACCAAACCAAACCAAACCAAACCAACCCAACCCCCACAGGATATTAGGTAGAAAGCAAAAGGCTGCCGACGTATTTCCCCTCAACACAGGAAAGATGTAGACAAAAGCTGTTAGAGAAAAATTAAAGTAACCTATCTGGAGTATGTTTACTGATAACAGGCCGCAAGCAGAGTGTCACAGATGGTTTCAGTGCTCAGTCCCGTACTATACATTCCTACAGATACAAAACCAAGCATTTTAGGGTGAAAGTTCTATATTTCTCCCTTGACACACTAGCTTTGTTTGCTTATGACCTATCTTTTATAGACAAGCATCCAAATCTTCACTTGAATGGTATGTCCCAAACTAGATTGGGTCATTTGGTAACTGCAAGTCAGTCTTTCTAAATGGTAAATAACCTTTTTTGTGTGTGTGTGCTTTTGAGCCAGGTTTTGACTCCTGGTGACTGCCTGGACTAGTCCCTGCAGTTTTCTTGGCAAGATTTTGGAAGTGGTTTGCCCTTGCCTGCTCCTTCCTAGGGCTGAGAGAGAGGGACTGGCCCAAAGTCACCTGTTGGCTTTGTACCTAAGGCAGGACTAGAACTCTCGGTCTCCCGGTTTTTAGCTTGATGCCTTAAACCACTACACCAAACTGGCTCCCTAAATAACCATTACCTGGAGAAATTTATTTAATAAATCCATTGCTCAGTAAAATACAGATGACCATTTACAGCACTTTTCCCTAATGTGGATATCCTCTAGAACAGTGTTGCTCAAACTTGGCAACTTTTAAGATGTGCAGACTTCAACTCCCAGAATTCTCCAGCCAGCATCCACACATCTTAAAGTTGCCAAGTTTGAGCGACGCTGCTGTAGATGCATGGACTTCTAAAATTCCCTAGCCAGTATGGCCACTGCTGAGAATTCTAGGAAATTTTGTCTAAAGATATTAGAGAAAGTTGATTTACAAAGTGGTCATTGAACTTTTGTTTAACCTAACTCTTTTGTCAGCCATTTAATTAAAATTTTAATGTTGCCCTGTTACTGTAGAGATTTAACTAGGTGAAGGTATCTAGTTAAGTGCTCCTCTGTAATGGGTTTTAAAAAGTTATATAATTTAATGCTCACCTTATGAGACCTTCATTCATCATATCATTTGCATTCATATTGTCAATTCATCCTTTCTTTTTGGATTGACATAAAGCTTACAATTCTTTCTACTCTTCCCCTTGTTTGGGGATAAAAGGGAAAGTTAGGTACCTTTTCCTTCCCTAGAATCCTTCTGTGATCTGTAGAGTTGGAAGGGGCCTTTTCAGTCCTCAAGAACCACCCATATAGTGTACAAGAAGTGTCCCCAATAGATGGCTGACTAGCATCTGCTTGACCACATCCAATGAAGGGGAGCTTACCCTTGTCCTGGGCCACTGGTTTTATCGTCAGATTGCTCTGACTGCTAGGTACCATTTTCTAACCTCCTTTTGGAATCTGCTTTTTTGTAACGTCAACTAAATGTTCCTGCATCCTGCATACTGAAATGAGAAAGAACAGGTCTTGATCTTCTATGTGATATCTTTCAAGTATTTGAAGAGTACAGGTAGTCCTCGACTTACGACTGTTCCTTTAAGAACTGTTTGAAGTTACAATGGCACTGAAAAAAATGACTTACGACTGGTCCTCACACTTACAATGTTGCAACATCCCCACAGTCATGTGATCAACATTTGGATGCTTGGCATGTATTTACAATGGTTGAAGCGTCCTGGGGTCATGTCATCACCATTTGTGACCTTCCCAGGGGGCTTCTGACAAGCAAAGTCAATGGGGGAAAGCAGGAATCATTTAACGATGTGATTCACTTAACGACCACAGCAAAAGAGGTTGTAAAATTGGGCATGACTCACTTAACAACTGCATCACTTAGCGATGGAAGTTCCAGTCCCAATTGTGGTCGTAAGTTGAGGACTACCTTTACTATCAAATCTCCTCTCAGTTGGCTCTTTTCATAGCTAAACACTTCAAGCTCCTTCAATTTCTCTTCAAAGGTCTTAGTTTCTAGTCCCCTAATTGTCTTCACTACCTTTCTCCTATTCCAATTCCTCTGAATTCTGCTTAAATGTGATGCCCAGAACTGGATACAGGGCCTAAGGTGGGGTTTTCCTCAGCAGCTAGTCACAGGTGGAAGTGGGAAGTATAGGCAGCTTTTCTTTTGCTTTCTGACTTCATTGATTAACAACGGGCATTAACAATAATGCTGACTGTTAGCCTTTCTTTTTCTTCTGTTTTCAACAAGCACAGGAAAAAGTTGGAAAACGGTGATACGATGGAATGTTCAGATGAACAATTCAGGAGAGGAACAACCCAAGAGGTTCTATCCAACCATGTGAGACTCCAAAGGCTGATAAAGGTGCAGATGGCAGGAGAGCAAGAGAAAGCCATTACATTTGAGCAGAAATGGTTTAAATTGTGGGTGCCTAAGGAAGAACATCCAAACAGTGCTAAACAACAATAACGCTTTGCTATTTATTGTAACCCAAATTTGGCTGCCTGAAACAGTTAAGTTACTATGCTGCATGGCTAGCCATCCCTGCCTGGATTGGGACTAGGAATTGATATGATGGAAACAGAAAAGAAGAAAAAGAAATGTATTTTCATATATTCTAATATGAAGCAGAAACTGCAGGCAATGAGAAAAATGTGGTTAGCAGGATAATTTAGGTAGTAATCTAGAGCTATTACTATATATATATATATATATATATATAGAGAGAGAGAGAGAGAGAGAGAGAGAGAGAGCGAGTGCACGTCATTGTCTTTACTGAGACTGAATTTCAGATTATGGATGCATTATTTCAAAAAATTGAGCCATGGCTAATCTTATTTATCTATTATGTGCTTCATTTCTAAAAATGTCATATAATTGCTGTTCCTTTCTCTGCTGGATATTAATATCTAATTGCTGTTTGTTTAAAAAAGCATTTGCGTGTGTATCTATGTATGTTTGATCAAGCAGTATGTTCTTCATGCTTTAGTCACTCACCATGAAAATGAATAAGCAATGCAAAAGGGGAGAATGTCAGCAGTTTTTTCCTTTGCTAATACAGTATTTATCTTTCTAGACCATTTGTTGATTTTTTTTTTGCCTTAAATTCATTAAGCTAAAAATCATTATTATTCAGACATGAAAGGATAGTCAAACATTGTAATTCACATACTTTTAGATTTTCATGTCTCAAGTTGAAAGTGAGCTCTAAATTGGTGAGAAACAGGTCTGAAAATTCAGGATACATATCCAAAACTTCTAATAAGTCTTCTCGTTGGATTTTATGCAAGTCACAGTAGGTTAGTGCTCTCACATCTGCATTTGACTTTCCTGGTTTTGCATAAAGATGGACCATCTCTCCAAAAATGTCATTTTTGCCTGTGACAGTAATGGAAAAGAATAATACAGTAATTACAAGAATTCAAATTTGTCCTCCCAGAAAGATTTAAAAAAAAAAGACACAAATATCTAAAAATAATGTTTATTTACTTTCCTTTTTTTTTTTTTTTTTTAAAAGCTTCCTTTCTGGAAACCTCACTAATGAATCAATACGGGTTCAATAGAATAACCAAATCCAATGTGATTTGGTTTCCCCCATGTTTACTTAATGGCTGCCATTTTCCCAAGATGGTGGTTATTGCCTAAACAGAATTCATGGACTTTTAGCTCTGGAGGTAAAGCTGCAATTATGCATCAGATTTCAGCTGATTCTAATTTCTTCTTTTTCCATTATTTTTTTCTAGTTAATGATCTTGGAGTATTTATAATCCTCATAAAAGATCCTTGTAAAACTTTGTGATGAATCAAACTCTTGACAGTAGGGATGGTTAGAGTTCTGAAGTCAAGATGTGTGCTGGGAATATGTTTCTGCCATCATGCATTCATCAGACTCCTCCACGTGTGGGCAGTTTATGGCAGTAATTGCTGGCAATCCCTAAAGGATGAGCACTGAAGTTACATCATTGTTATGCCTTTTCTGTATTCTGTAGTTCTGTAGACATACAGAGGACATACCTATACAGTGGACACATATTTTTCAACTAGCATAGTAGTAATGTACATCTGATCCTAGTGTAATTCGAGCTTAATCCTATTTTGTCAAGTTTTAGTAGTTGCTTTTCTGGGAGTCAAAACCATTATACAAGTAGGTTTGATTTAACTGCTTGATAACATATTCTTTCTCTCTAAACTTTGCATAATTTCACCCGTTGGGGGAGATGGGCGGCATACAAGTTTAACAATAAATAAAATAAATAAATAATTTACCTTTTATTTTAAAAAAAAGGGTTCACGTTGCATTCAGTATGATACTGGTACATATTCTCTTTTCATTCATTCTAATATACAATGCCGATTCTGCTCTTAAAAAGGAATTATTACTGAGCAAACCATTAAACATTTCCAGATTTTGTGGTACTTTTCAAAGCTTACCAAGAATTGCTACAACCATGTCATTCTTGAGAATTTCAATGGAGCCTCGGGAAAGGAAGTAAAGTGCAGTCAGAACATCACCACAGTGGACTAGTGTGTCCCCAGGAGGTGCATGAGTAGTCTTAAACTTCATAGCCAATGCCCGCAGACACCCTTTACTGGCCCCCTGGAAAGCTTTGCAGTTTTGAAGCAAACTTTGGTTGAGGTGAAGACAGATATCAGCTTGTAAACATTCTGGAAACCCCTTTAGGACCTGATGAAGATAATGTAAAAGTTTAGTACAATCAAGCTGCTTGACCTACAGTTTGGGAATATCATCTCCTTGCTCAATCAGGTGCCAAATAAACTGGCACAAGATCTGTAATACAATGGAGATCAAAATATAATCAGAAATTTGATTGGCAGCACAGTTATGGGTAAGGACATTCTAGGTTGATATAGGCTGCAGTCACATGATGTTCTTTCATTTAGCTAGCTGAATCAAAACCATTGGGATTAGATCTCCATCTACACACTATTTGTCACTAGAAAGTAAATGTGTCCAGAGTTGGATTCTTAATTTGATATGTCACTGGAGACAGGCCTGTCTTTTGGAGGGGGTGTGTGCAGGAGTTCTGGTCATGCTGAGATGGGAGGCCTGTGGTCCATAAATACCTTGGAAAGAGAGGAGGCTATGCCTTACTGGGTACCATGTGAGGGGAGTGGGATGAATAATGATTCATGTGAAGGGAGTAGGACGAAAAAGATGAATGTTTCACTGACTCAAAGACATGGAGCCAGCTTGTGCTGGAAGAAAGAATCCTCTAGCCTTATCAAGGGAAACTGACTGATGATGCTGATGCAGTTCTTCATAAATGGCAAAAGAGGTGGTTGACTCTTGCATTGGCTCCTGGGGAAATCCTCCTCCTGCCCTGGTCAGGTAATCGTGAGGGAAGCATGGATTCAGGCTGGGCCCAGAAAAAGCTTCCTTTTGGGGTTGGGGATCCCTGCTGTAGGAAAAATGAACAGATGGGGGGAAGGCACAGATTTGACCTTGCTTAATTTGGAGGTTTATGGAAGCAGTAGGACATCTGTTATTTGCTGCTAAGGACCAAGCTTGATGTAGATTAAACGTCTCTGCTTTTAATGAACATGATTAAAAAAAAAAAGAAGCAAAGAATATTTTTGCTGGTAGTGGAGGTGGCTGCTGATTAATGGAAGAGCAGCAGGTGGCATTGAGGAATCTGGTTCTTCCCTCCTTTGCTCCAACCTTGACCCAAGCAGTCCTTTGATGCTGCTAACTGCCCTTTGATTGCTAACGGTAGCCTCACATGAACTATTTTGTTAGGTCTGCTTCAAGGGAAGAACAGTTCACCCCCCTCTGCCTTCTATGATTATGAAAACGATTAATTCAGCTCTGATGACAACCCTTCAATGTCTCTGAAACCTGGCAGAGTCAAAAAGAGGTTCCCACCAGTCTTCCCCTACCTTTTATCATATTTGTATTTGTCCTGTTAAAAGGTATACTTGCCACTGGTTGTGGAGTTTTGGGGGCAGCTGAAAACCCTTTCCACTCTTCTACCTGTGGTTTGCCTTTATTGATACTCAAAGTTCTAGAACAGTGTTTCTCAACCTTAGCCACTTTAAGATGTGTGGACTCCAACTCCCAGAATTCCCCAGACAGAATTCTGGGAGTTGAAGTCCACACATCTTAAAGTTGCTGAGAAACACTGTTCTAGAAGATCACTGGAGACTGTCCAAAGGAAGAGCTATATTCCTGAGCCTAAGAGAGATGGATGACAATTCTATCTCAAACAATAGCTGCATGATTTGAACCTTGTGCCTCATTCTTTCTTCTCTATATCACCTGTGTATTATGAAGGAGAGCTCAATTTAAGTACAAAATAGCTGAGAAGAGGAAATGCTCTTCAGGATGCGACCCAAATAGAATAAATGGGATTTTACATCTATCTGCCACTTTAAAAGAATTTGTTACATTAATATATTCACATAATGCATCTAAATGCATGTTAATTAAATAAAACAATGTAATTCCAATGTTTAAATCTTAAGTTTTTGTTCCACTTCAGCACAATAAAGTTCTGTGCAGCCATTTAAAGATTCATAACCAAAATATTAATTCTATTCCTCCAGTACTGACAAGCAAAATATGGGTGATTTTTATATTTGACATGAGAATACCACTTCACCGAAGTGAAGCTATGAGTTAAGAAATGACTTTACACGGATAAGGCTTGTGCTGCGAAAGAACAAAAAACAATTATCATATAAAAGTTGCACAATTTAAGGTCTCATGGTCAGGAGTGCCATTGCTAAGCTCAGGAGACAAGAAACAAGATACTCTACTAGATTTCTATTGGTTGAGCGTATTCAAGATTACCTTTTTAAAAAAATAAACTTTTTTTTGTATATTTGTTGTGACAACAGAGTTCTGACTTTGGATCCTGAAGGCCTCTCTAAGAATGAAAAGCCCTCCCCGCCCCCCGGCTCCTGGATTGTGAATTGTGATGCTTTCCCCCAATAACTCTTTCCTCCTTTAGTCTCCAGTACCATCTCTAGTGCCGTTCAAAAGGCAAGCCCAATGCAGATTTTCAGAAGGCCAAAGGATGTGCAAAGTGGAGGAAAAACAACTGAAAATGATCCTCCACCTGCAGAAGAAACTCAGTCTACAGAGAAATGTGGATCCAACCCAGTGAGTGTCATAATTTCAGAGGTCAAGCACCCTTTAAAGCAAAAATGGCTCCATTCAACTGTTTATGACAAGTCCCTAAGGATAAAGAACCAATGAAATAATAAAAAACACAAGCACTCCTGTGAAGTAATAAAATGTGGCCTGAAGCAGAGTTTCTTTCAGGTTCTCATTTTTGCAAAAGCTAGTTTATCTCACTTTCAGTTAAGTTTTATATATAATCTTTGACTTGAAAATTCACTTGCATTTTCATGCACATTTTTCTTGCTATCTTGCATTCAAGATAGCTTAATATGCACATTTTTGCTAATAGTTTTATTAAATATAACATCTACATTTGCTTCAGTAATACATACACTTTTTCTATGTCTTTCAAACTATATTGAGCAGGGTGTTGGACTTGTTATGATTCTTATGATCTTTTTACACATTGTTTTTTGAGTGGAGAATTGCATTGCAAAATTCAGGGAAGTGCAAATTCCTTGAAAAGGCAAAATTAAGTAATCTCACTTTAAAATGCAAAGGAAACAAATGTGATTTCCCCACCTCCATCACTACTTCCTTCTCATCTCACCCACCTTGAATGGCATTCCTGCTCAGGACATTGCCGCCACACAAGAAATTGGCAAAAGACGAGATAACTTGAAAACAGAGGCATTTCTTAGGCAACTAAAGTCAGCTACATCTAATAAACGACAGACATAATTAACTTGGTTCTGCTTCTCTAAGCAATTAATCTGCACTTTTTAAATGGCCTGATCCTAAGAAATGATAATAAAGGCTCAGCATTGGGATTATAAACTTCTCCAGCAGCATAACGTTATTTATTCTTTTTTCAGTGGTACACAAACAAACCAATTCTAGCAGCAGAACATTATTTAACCTTTGTTCAGTTGTCACGTGTCTCAACTGAATGTATGAAGGCTTTCAAGGGTCAAGCCGGTACTTTTATTGGACACAGAAACCTCCTGGAAGCCAGTGCAGTGCCTGCAGTGTGGATGAGCGATGGCTGCAGAAGGTCTGGCTTGCCAGCACACAGGCAGCTGCGTTCTGCACCAATTACACTTTCGGAGTGGTCTTCAAAGGGACCCCCGTGTAGAGAACACTGCAGTGGTTTATTTTGGTGCTGATGAGGCATGCGTTATGGCTACCAGGTCCTCTCGCACTGGGTAGGGCTGCTAATGGGCATACCAGCCAAAGCTGGGTGAAGCTCCTCTGTCCTTGGCTTCTACCAGCACCCAATGCAAGTCCAAGAGGGCACCCACGTCATAGACCTACTCTTTCAGGGAGTGTGTATTTGCATATTTTAAATGACAAAAGATGAGTAATGAAGGCTGTAAACACATTCGTAAATGAGTAAATTGCACTGATTATAATGGCTGTGCCATTACCAAAAGCCATGCTGTGCTATGTAACATTAATGTTGTTCCATCAGATCGGACCTGTGTTCATCATTAATGCTGTAGTGATGTTGGGGACGGGGGAATTCCATAGCAAGAGATTCAGACACTGAAAAAGTTAAAGGGAAATCTACACATGTCAATCCAAATAAAGCCATAGAGACATCTGAAATCCCCAAAAATAAACCTCTAAAAAAACTCAATCAGGAGTGGGAAGGCTCCCATTTCAGGGGAGCTTTTCAAAAAAGAGACGGCTAGCTCCAGTTTGCTTTTGCCTTTCACTTTCCTTCCCATCAGACCGAGTCCCTTAAGGTGGCTGAAAGTCAGGTAAGAAGAGATAGAGAGAGCTCCAAGTTGGAAATCAAGGAATTATTCAGCAGGACGCTGCAGGACTAGTGAAGTTAAGATGCAGATTAGGATATCTTATTTTATGGACTGTGATTGGAGCTGGGGAATTTCGTTTTGGGTGTGTGTATGAAAGATTCTGGTGTGGGAGTGGAGGATGAAATCAACCTCTTCCAAAACCATTATTCATCTCTTCCTTTTCTTCCTTCTTTTCTGCCTTTCAACTTCCTTCTAGTTCTTTAGTCCTGATAAGTGTAATCAAGACTTGAATGCTTAATGAATCAGTAGCTTTCACCTGGGAGGGGGAAAGGAGAACTAGCCTTTAGCACACATTTACTCCCTCCCAGCTACATTTTCCAAGATACTGATGGAAAGAGGATTGCCACTTGCCTCCTTCTGAGTAAACAGGGCAGAGAGGGATTTCTATGGGGAAAGAGTTGGCAGCAGCATTACGGAGGCAGTTCTTCCTATGAGTTATGAGTAGATAACAGTAGGGTTGTGGGGGAAGGTTGAGAGTCCCCTGATAGGAGCCAACTGTACCCAGCCCACCACTTTCCATGGGTTACGTACACCCCATTACAAGTGTACATTCTCGATTGTTTGCATTTGATGTACACAACAGTGTATATCCTGCCCTTCCCCATAAAAAATGTTGCTCAAAGTGGCTAAGACATTATATACATTATATATGATGAAAAACTAACACAATTAGCATAAGATTGTCAGATGAAAAATAGTACACTATCAGGAGGAAAAAGACAAGAGCCAATTTAGATGAAGACTCTAAAATTAAAAGAAAGTGGTATTTAAGTAGGAATG